TACAATAGCATCAACTAAATGTCATACTACAATACTAAAAATAAATAAAAATTATGATATTTGCACATTTCAAAGTTTAATGCAATACTTAAAAAATGGTCTTGAAAAAAATGAATTTATGTAGTATTTTTTCTTTTAGCTGGAATCTTTATAATAAAAGAAAGGCAGTAAAATTTTTGGATCATCACTGCCATTTTACTTTAAAGTAAAAAGGCAGCAATAATCCAAACGTTAGAAATAATTATTTTATTTATAAAGCCTTTTGTCGAACCCTGTTTAATCAGTTTTGTTCTAGACTTCTTTGCTTTACGAATCCTTGGAATTTTTTTAAATCTAAAAACAATAGTTTCTTGCACTTTTAGAAGATTTCAGAAGATTAACGCAATTCGTTAGTCTTCTGAAATCTTACCCTTGCAGCCAATCAGCCGCACGTTCTCCTATATGTACGTAAACCGCGGTCCTTATTTATGAAATAAAATAGTTTTGCCAAATTTTGATTTGTCATTGAAATGGACTTTAACTTCTTTCAAACGAAAAAAAACTCAGCAGAAAATATTTTTTCTTGTTTTTAGTTTTTTTTGCTTCACATATTTCATATAATTTATCTAGTTTATTTATATTTTAAACGCACAGTTATATATAGTTTATGTTGATTTTTATTGCTTAATTTGATTTTATTGTTATTATTATCATATTTAATATTGTAAAAGGCTTCATGATAATATCGTATGATCTTCTGGAAGTCCAGCCGATTATATTTGTAACAAAGCTATTCTGTAATTTTATTTTAATGAAGGCAAATAAATTTACAAAAAAAAAAAAAAAAAAAAAAAAAAGTTCAAATTAGATACTAAAGTTATTTTTAATATTGGTATTGTGATTTATCCTCCTTAGGCTAATCGCCATTTATAGAGGCTATTTACCAAGGTCCGCGAAGACAAGTTCAGCTTACTAAATAACATCTTAGCCCGCCTCAAGGGACCAAGAGTGAATGAGCTTGAGGTAAATAAAGAATACTTATTTTTATTTACAGAAGTAAATAAAAGTAATTGTCAGAGGTAGTCGAGTTAAAAATATAGCATAGACAAGAAAATCGAGTTAAAAAGATAGCATAAAGTATAAACTTTTCTTTTTTACAATGATCTTTATAAAATAAAGAACTAAACAGACAGGGGCCCAAAGAAGATGAAGATGAAAATACGTCATCGCGATCTTTTCATATAGCCCCTGTATATATTTTTTAATAGAATATAGTTACTATTTTGATAACCCTAATGGGCTTAAAACTACTGAGCTAATCAGTAAATCAAATAAAGATAAAAAAAAACTGTAAAAATAAAATCAAATAACATCCGCCAATTATAATTAACACGACACCGATAAAAATTGCTTAATACAGCATTATGGTTTCAACTTTAATGCAGCGTTAGTCAAAGAACCATGCGGTTATGCACAACTTATAGATTTATTCTTTTTGTTTATATGCATTAACGCAACGAAAATGGAGCAATGTAGTTGTTATTCATAACCTAAAGTTTTACCAAAAACTTTGTTGATGTTGTTGTTTATCATAACAAATGTATAAAATGTATTTTTTGACTAATATAAATATTATCGCATCATTTGTCATTTTGTTTTATTTCTTCTAAACTAGTTTCATTTTTTGATAAAAAAAAAAAAGGGTGCAACCGGTTTAGAAATATGTCTACTAATACTTTATTTTTGTGTTTTACTGTATGTTTAAAATAGCGTGCGTTGCGTTTCAAACTTTTGAAACTCATTTTTTGAATCTAAAAACAGTTTATTTTTAATAATATTAAGTATTCCGTATTAGAATAACTAAGGCATGATAAAATCTTGATATATTTTGAATAACTAAGACATGATAAAACCTTGATAAGTTTTGAATAACTAAGACATGATAAAATCTTGATAAGTTTTGAATAATTAAGACATAATAAAATCTTGATAAGTTTTGAATAACTAAGACTTGATCAAGTCTTATTTATTCACAACCGTAATTAAACCGTATTAAAAGTTTTTATTCTCAAAAATTTATTTATTTATTTGTTAAGGTGCTCCAAGTAGACCTCATAGTCTTATTACAGAGCTTAACTGAGGAGCATTTCATCAGAAAATTCAAACCTCTTTCCTTACCAATGTCTATTATTAGACTAGAGCCGTCATCAAACCCCGTACTTTTTGGTTCTGAGTAAGAACTCTAACCACTGCGCCACGGCTGCCGTTACTGTTACCAGAAACTAGATAAATTTTTAATACTTATAACAATTCGATAATCAGAGTTCCATGCATAACCACAATCATTAGGACAAAAAATAAAAGATAATTTTGCTACAGTTTGACATGGAGAAGTTAAGGTTTATATTAAAAAAAAAAAAAAATCCGCTGAACATGCAATTAGGAATAAAATTACAAATTTATTCCAAAGATATGTTAAACAAGAGTAGCATATCTTTGGAAAAAAAAAAGAAACTAATTTGTATAAATAAAAAAATTAAATAAAAAACAATTTTTATATGTAGAATATACCAAATTTGATATATTCTATACTTTTCCATTTTCAAGTATAAAATGAAAAATTTCATTCTCTCAATGGATGATGTATCCAGGTTGTTTTTTTTTCGATTAGAACTTTATTTTTATAAAATACGTTTTATTTTGTATATTGTTTGTTGATGTGGTTTATATGCAAACGCTTGTAAAAGATCAGTAAGATCTTCTTTCAGAAACCTTATTTGTATTTGTAAAAGTAGTTTATTTACTATGACAACAAATGTAAACTTTACATATATATATATATATATATATATATATATATATATATATATATATATATATATATATATATATATATATATATATATATAGTCACATTAGAATTTCATGGTTCTATCTGCCTTTTTTTATGTTGTGAGAACTTAACTTTTAATATTTATTTTATACATGTTTTACAGCTGTTATTCATTATAATTATAAATTATAAGTTAAAAAAATGATATATAATATATACACTTAAAAAATGATATATAATATATCATTTTTTAAGTGGTTTGTTTTTATTATTAATTAAAACTTTGATTGTTAAGTTCTTTCAACATAAAACAAAGCAGATAAAACCCTATAATTCTCATGCGACGATATGTATATGTGTATATATATATATATATATATATATATATATATATATATATATATATATATATATATATATATATATATATATATATATATATATAATTTGGTTATTTAGGTGCTCCCAGAAGTCCTTACAGTCTTATCACGTAACATCGTGGATTAACTAGAGGTTCACGCCTCCTTCCTTACCAATGTCGCTTATTGAGCTAGAGCTGGCGTCGAACCTAGGACCTCTGGGTTGAAGGCCAGAACTCTAACGATTGGGCTGTATATCTATCTATATGTATATATACATTTTTAAACTAATACTTTATTAAAAAAAATTAATTTGAAAAAATATATATTTAGTTATATATAATATATATGTATATGATGTAAATTTATAAATCAAATAAAACCACTGTTTAATTTTGTTATTCATTTCATCTAAACACGCCTTAATGCATAAATAATAGATTTTGTGGTTTGTCTGAATATAAAAAGTTTATAATCAAACTAAAAATACTGGAACTGATCGGATGAACTGTTACTAAAAGTTCGCAAACTAGTTAATTAAATCGAAGTTACTAATTATTATTATAACTAATAAAAATATCATTAATTATTAATAACAAGTTGCAGATGGTGTTTAACAGCGCCACTTATCTATTTCAAAAAAAAAAAAAAAAAAAAAAAAAAGAAAAAAAAAAAAAAAAAATTTAAATTGAAAAAATTATAAAAAATATTGAGCAATAAGTCCCTTTATATATTCATGTAATTTTGAAATCTCAATTAAAATTTAAACGGCTATCTATCTATATATAAAATCTTCAGACTGTATTATGCAAGATTAGAAAGTTACTGAAAACTTATTTTATGTCATATTTTCTTTTAAATTACTCTTTTTTTATGGTAAAAAGCGGTTTTTTGAAACGACGCCATCATGTATTTCGTATCACCTAAAGATGAGCGCGTATACTCAATTTTTGTTAATTGTAATGGTGGATTTGTAAATAGATCAATTTTTATTACGATGGTTTAAATTAATACTTTTAGCATCTTTATAATGTATGTCTTTAAAACAATAATTAAATGTAAAGATGCCAATAAAAGGGTGTTGCTTATTAAATATTTAACGCTATAAACTGCGATTTAACGCTATAAACTGTAATATAACGTTATAAACTGCCACTTAAACTGTGGTTTAACGCTAAAAATTGCGATTTAATGTAATATGTATATGTATATATATATATATATATATATATATATATATATATATATACACACACACACACATATATATATATATATATATATATATATATATATATATATATATATATATATATATATATATATAATGCGATTTAATGTAATATAATAAATAAAAACAACCTGCGATTTAACGCTAAAAGCTGCTTTAAAAACTTTACGCTATATATATATATATACATATATATGTATATATATACACATATATATGTATATATATACACATCCATATATATGTATATACACATATATATATATATATATATATATATATATATATATATATATATATATATATATATATATATATATATATATATATATATATATATATATAAAATGCAATTTATACAACACTCGTGTGTGTTGTATAAATTGCATTTATAAAGGCAAAGTGGAAAAAACTAATATTAAAATCATATTTAGTCCATGCTCAATAAAGTAACCACATCAGTAATTATTTCAATTAAAAAGTGATGCATCACCTAACAATGATATATAAGTGATACATAACTAAATAATATATTACCTAATTAATACTTCACCTTGGCGATATATTTAATTATATTTGGAATGAATAAAAAAACATCTAAAAAAATAGTTTTTTGTACAAATTCACAAAACTTTTCACAGTGTTTTGCATAAACCACAAAAAGAATATAATAAAACTTGATACAAAAATATAAATTTATATAGAAATTTATGTACGAAAATATATTATAGAAATATTAGAGCCCAGTCTACCGCGTCACAACTCCTGCAACGCAATTAAAAAATTTTTATTAAAAGACATGAGGAAAAAATAAATAAAAAATAATAAAATTTTTTGTCAGAAAATAATTTATGCATAGGAAAGACACAAGTGATTGGATAGCAGAGGTCACATAAGGTTGATCCTTAAAATTTTAAATTCATCTAGTGAAATAGATCCTGGATTCATTATATAAATTATAGCTTACTAAATTTCCATTATTTTAAAACAATTGTTATAATTCTATATACAAATAAAAGCTTAGATATAAATTTCCTCAAGAGATTCCGAGAAGATTATTCAAATTCATGAAAAGCAAATCATTAAACGGCTTTTATAAAATGTGCATAAATATTGACCAAATTAAAAAGAATTAACCATTCACCTGGATGATATGGTTAGCTGTTTTTAAATATGCTTCTTTATTATTTCGGTAAAATACGCAAACTCAGTCGGAAGCAGTAGCGTACTAGATATTAGAAAATTTGCGAATTTTTGGTACCTCATTCTTTATCATCCATATTGTTTTAAATGAACAAGATATAAAATATTTGCTAGACAGAAGCAGAGGTTCACATTGCATGTAACATTAAAACACCCTATAACCAGGTCAGGCTGGAACCAGGTTTGACCAATACACCTTTTACTTATACATAGCGTTCTGTCAGTCCATCTTTATCAGTTTTAACATTACGACTAGTTGATGTTTCAAATTTTGTTAGAATCTCTTTAACAGATTTATTTCCTGTCCCATTTCTATTCAGTTCATTATCGTCTTCAACTCTAGCATCTTCATCACGGCGTTTAGTTTTATCATTCAACGAACCAGTCTGAAGAGCATCGGGAGAAAGTTGATTTTTACTTTTTATTAAATCTGCGGTCCAGCTTTTTTTGTCTAATGTTTTTTTTGGTTTGGGAAATGTTGGAGGAGCTTGTTTTAAAAACATAGAAGCATTAGAAGAAACACTGTTTTGGTCACCTAAACTTTGAAGTTTTGAGATGTTAACCTTTAATGAAGGAGACAAACCGTCTTTCTCATCCATTCCTAAAAATGAAGAATCACTAATTGCTTTTGTAGTTTCTATAAGTTCTTTGTGTTCCTTTTTATTGCCTTTAATGTCTTGCAAAACAAATGGTGTCGTTTTTAATAAAATTGGAGAAGATTGCGGGGAAGAATTCTGAGAAACTGTTGCTTTGATAGTAACAGGTTTCAGTTTCCGTACAGAAACTTTATCTTTAACGTCCCGTTTTACCCACGCAGGAGAGTTAGGACTAGGAGAAGATTCTTCAGCGTTATCTTGGGTACCTCCAAGAGAAAAAGAGTATGTAGTAGTTTCAAGACGAGTAAACATCGAATTCTTACGATTATTGGCGTTTATTGGAAATTTAAAGTGCTCTAAATTAGATGGGATTTCATTAGTAGACAAGCTCCTCTGCCTTACTATTAAGCCTTTACCAAATCTTTCCATCCACGCATTATCGTCCTCCGGATTTTCATCTTTAGAAGTGCAGTCTGGACTTGAATGAACTCCACAACTATCACCTACTAAAAGTGATTCTAAAGATGAAAGTTGTTCGTGTGCAGATTCATAGTCAGTATCTGTGGATTGTCCACTTCTCGTAGAGGCCTGTGAGTTATTTTTAGAAACGAAGTTATGGTGTGCCGAAGGAAGGTCACCTAATATGTCTATAAAATACAAAAATTATTCTAAAAAAAAGTAAAAAAATGATTTCGTAACATTATTTAAATTAATTAATTCTGCATACCAGATTCTCTATCGGGGTCATGATACTCATTTAAACTCATATGACGTTTTAAATCAATAGCACTAGTCTCTTGAGACTAAATAAAAAAATTTGTTAATAATCTTTATTTAAAAAATAAATATTTATTGCAAATATTTATTATCATTATTAGATATAACCTCATCAGTTTTTGGCAGACCAGTATCCACCATAGACATTATCTCTCTTGTAAATTCAGCTCCAACGCTAGAAACACTATGTAATTTACAATTTAATTAAAACTAAATAATTTAATTGAAATAAAAAATTAATTCTCTATTTTAGGGTATTTCTAAAAGTCTGCTCTCATTCTCTAAATGTGTTTATATAGTATTAAATAATATTATATAGTATTAAACACTATTTTATATTTTTATGGTTGGATCAAGAATAAAGAAGGTGGATTTTTAAAATCGAGTTATCTGTTTCCTCAGATAGTTAGAAAGGACATGTAAGAAAATTTAAAAATGTTGAAAATTAAAGTTTTTTGCATTAAAGTTCGTAAGTATAACTTTATTCATTTTTTTACGAAGTTAAAAATAAATTTGCAATTCAAAAGAAACAACATTTCTACAAATGCGGGAGAATTTGTTTAAATAAATTGTAAATAAACCAAGCGGTTAAATAATAATTAAGTTTGTTATGTTTTAAAATGGCAATAAATTTTTTTTTTTTAAATTATTTACCTCCCTAAGGCCCAAGGGGGCCACTACAGTCGAGGAGGCTACTCATTTTTATTTTTTAAATTTTTTTATGTTGTAAATCGTGGTACAACCCTCTCTCAACTCTTTAACTCCAAAACACAAACCTTGACAAGCAAGGCCGCTGCGCGGAGCAATTAAGTTGAGCGCGGTACTTCCAGGGACATGGTGGGAGTCGAACTCCAAACCTCTTGCTTACAAAGCGAGCGCTTTTACCACTACACCACTACCGCATGGCCACGAAAACTCAATAATTTGCTAAAAAAAAATTAGAAGTTGAAAAAGTGATCTTATTTTAGTGATTAACATATGGTGATGTAGATAAATACTTTAGTTCAATGTAATAAAACCTATCAATGAAAATAAGTGCAAAAAAGGACCTCAACATAGCATTTGGTGTTTTGGAAAATCTTTATGATTTTCTGCTGATTGCCTGCAAATGTAATTTACTAAATTACATCTGCAGGCAAAAGTAATAATTTATTTAAATAAGGTTCCCTGCCAAGATAATAGAGTACAATACAAAAACTAATCTGCAATAATGGTTAACATTTGTTGTGTTTGTCTGCCAAAGAGGTTAGTTAAGAATTTAATTTTTTTTTAACTAATTTTTTTAGAGTTTCTCTACATTTTTGTATCAATTTTTATTACTTTCTTTCAACTTTCTTCTTAAAGAAGTTTTAAAAGAATATCTCTAAAAGTTTCTTTTTTGAATAATTTTTTGAATAAGAATTTATGATAATTTATTTTAATTTATTCAGATTCTACTTCAAGAAAGAGAATGCATCAAAGACTAATGATCAAGAATAGGTACAAAAGTAAACATTCAGTTATTGAGCTAACAGATTTGATACTGTAAAAAAAAATATTACAGTTTTTCCCTGATATTGGCAAGTTGACTGCATGTGATATAAACTTGGTCTAATTAGGTATAAGAATAAGTTTATACCTATATTTCTATTTTTCTAATTAAAACATTTTGTAATTAATATTAACATAAGTTTTTAAAAGATATTACACGCACAGATTTGAAAGCAAACAAGATCCTGGTGAGTTTAGACAGCTCACCAGGATCTTGTTTGCTTTCAATTATATTAAGTAGTTCCTGACAAGATAAAGTCTCAACCTGTTATATGTACTGTAAAGCTCATTAACAGAGTTTCAAAAAAACATGGTTTAGGAAGGTATACAAAAAAATTGAGCATTAAGGAGAAAAGTTTAAAAAAAAAAAAGTTATGGTGCATAAATATTTATTGTTTTTAACGTTCTCAAAATCACCTGTTTTATAACAAATTAAAAATACTGATTTGTTACATTAAATTTGAAGTCTTATACATTATAAATTAAATTCATATACTTATACATTAAATTTGAAGTCTTATACATTATAAATTAAATTCATATACTTATACATTAAATTTGAAGTCTTATTATACCAAAAACTATAATAGATTTTTTCAAAAATCTATTACTTTATTGAGTAATTTTTGGAACTATTGTTGGATTATATCTATTGGAGGAATTTAAGGCAGAGATTTCATTTTTTTTTACAGTGTAATAATTTTTTTTTTTTTTTTTTATAAAATAATTATTTTCAAAACTTTTGTAAAGTTTTCTTTTAATTAAAGCCAACTTTTTTATTTTTGATAACATTTCTATTTTATTATACAGAACATATACAGATGGTGAGAGCAGAGTTTGAAAAAATAATTGCTATTTAATTATAATTGTCTTAAGGGACACCTTATATATACACCTAGGTACACCCTAATATATATTTTATATTATAACTATTTTAAACAAACCTTTCTTGTCTAGAAGTATTTGGAGAACTTTCTGAACCAATACCATTTCTTTTTTGTGAAATACCTTTTATTATACAAAACTATATTATAGTAAATGAAAAATAAAAAATGTCATAAAAAAGTTAAAACAATGACTTATGAAAAAATTTCTATTGAATTTTTTATAAATCTTTTAGTTAAGTTAAAAAATAATTAAAATTATTTAAAAATTAAAAAAAAAAAAGGATTCAGAGAAAAGTTATGCAAAAATATTCAGAAAAATGCAAACAGAAACTAAAATTCAATAGCAAAAAAAGATTTCAATAGCAAAAGAACACATAAAAAATTTTTCTCATAGTTTTTTTTTGTAAAAAACAGAAACATTCATTATCTTCATTCATTCAGCCTTCATTTATTCAAACCGCAAAAAGTGCTAAATTATGACAACTAAAAATAATTTTATAATTTTTAATTATTTCAATAATCACCAATCTGAAAACTGAAACCGAAATGAGACAAAAGGTGGCTGAGTTTGAATCCAAGTTTGGTATGATTCAAGCTTTTGGTTGTATAGACAGTACACATGTGCCAATAGCCTGTCTTGTTGAAAAAGTTCTATTTCTAAAATTTCTATATTATTACTGAAGAGGAGAAAACTAATATCACAAATCATCATCAATACCTGCTGTCTATTATATTGCCAAATATAGAAAACGTTACTGATATATGATAGCATATAAACAAATTATATACAAAATACAAACTTACTAAAAAAACCCTTGAATTAAAAGCTGTTTTCAGATGAGACAAAAAATTAGCACTTTTTATTTCTGAGTCCACAATATCTTGTTAAATATATGTTAAAGAGTGTTTACAATAATATCTATTACCTCTCACATGTCAATCTCAGAGGTCTATTATCAAATAAAAACAGAACTTTTATAAATGGTGAAGGTGTTATAAATGATAACCTCAATTTTAAATTGCAGTTAATGTTTAACAACAATGTAATTAATAAGTGAAAGAAGTTATTTAAGTTTATAATAGTAATTATTATTTAATCAATAAAAAAATATATGATTTTAAAAATAGTTTCTTCAATTAGAATAATTATTTAGAAAGGATTTTTAAATCTTATATTTTAAAATGTTGCATCACTTAATGTTGTTTTTTAAAAGAAAATCTGATTTCAAAGAAACTTTTCTTGCAGGGGGCATCTGAACTTGAAAAGGATCTCACTTCTGCTACAGCATGGGGCTCACAGTGGCTGGTGAACTTTAATTCAGATAAAACTCAATTTTTTTCGGCCAATCGTTATCACAATAATTTAGACCTTCCTATGTTTATGAACGGTAATGTACTCGATGAGTCTCCTACCCTTCATCTTCTAGGATTAACTCTTACTTCTGATCTTTCTTGAAAACCTTATATCAAATCCGTTGCAAAATTAGCATCTGCTAAAGTTGCTTCTCTTTATCGAGCTCGTCACTTTCTTACTCTGGATTCTATTCTCTATCTCTATAAATCTCAAATCCAGCCTTGTATGGAATACTGTTGCCATATCTGGGGCGGATCTTCTAATGATGCCCTTTCTCTTTTAGACAAGGTGCAAAAACGCATTGTAAACATAGTTGGACCTGCTCTTGCAGCCAACCTTCAACCTCTGTCACATCGTCGTAATGTTGCTTCTCTATATGGGCACTGCTTGAAGGAGGTAGCATCTCTTGTGCCATCTACTAAAATTCATTCTGGTGTTACTCATCATTCAATCAAGTCTCATCCTTTTTCTGTTACTGTTCCTAAGTGTTCCAAAAACTCTTATTCATCAAGTTTTTTTCCTCGAACATCAGTTCTTTGGAATTCACTTCCTTCATCTTGCTTCCCTGATTCATATAATTTGCAATCTTTTAAGTCGTCTGTCAATCGTTATCTTGCTCTCCAATCTTCATCTTTTCTCTTCCAGTAACTTCCAACACTAATTAGTGGTTGCTTGCAGCCTTGTTGGAAGCGAAGATAATTAAAAAAAAAAAAAAAAAAGTAGTTTAAAAATATTTTTATAATAGCAAAAAGGATAATCGAATCTGATTGTATAAACTAAATTTTTTTTAACACAAAACCGTAACCTAATTATTGTAAACTACAAAGTAAACTAAATTGTAATAAAACTGTGTTGAGCTTTATACACTTATATTTGAAGTGTGAGCATTTATTAATCTAAAAATATGAATTAACATTTTTTGTAAGCAACTATAAATGAGCTTGTATCAAATTCTCTTGGAAATACTTGGATTACTTGTAAAAATAACACTTTTCTTAATCACCAAAAAATTAGTTAAATCATAAAAGAAATGGTAAAAGATAAAAAATTACCAAGTTCATGGTACTAAGAAATAAGAGATTATGGCATTAAGTGCACTAGTTATAATGAATTTCTACTATTATACTATATATCAACTTATTGTTACATTTATTTTTACAGCTATTTCACATTTTTTGTAAAGCGTGTACACGAAATAAGTGTGAAAGTAGAAAAACAACTAAATAAAGGTACTCATCAACTTTTATTTAGAACAAATTTTAAAACAATAATAAAAAAAGAGAAAGAATTTCAAAATAATTAATTTATTCCTGTGGACATCTAATAAAATTTCGAATTTTTGTTTTGGTGGTACCCATAAGCTTGGGCACAGAACAACAATTAAAACTCTTTGATACTGTATTAATGACATTTTCAAATTTTTAACATTTCTGCATAGCTTTTTTACTTACCCAATAATTTTCAATGCTGGGCAGTTTAAAGGATTTGCTATTTTAGACATAACTTTTATGTCATTTTGTTTATACCATCCCATAGCTAGTTTGCTATAATGACATGATGATAAATCAGGCAAGAACACATGTCTACTATTATATGATTTAATAAGAGATAAAAGACATTTTTGTAAACACTCTTTAACATGCATTTCAACAGAAAGTGTGAAATCAGAAATGTATTGTTTTTTGTCATACCTGCAATTAGCTTGCCAAATCAAAGCATTTTTAGCAAATTTAACATTTTTGTGTATTCAAGTTTCTTATCTGCTTTTCCTCTATAATAGTGCATTATAATAGACAGCACCAGGAATTTACTGATGATTGTACTTTGTATAAGTTTAATAATCATCTCCAATAACTTAGAAATTTTGAGAAACTTGTCATATACCTTCAGCGAGTTCTTGCACTTTTAGAAATATACTTGTCATAAAACTTTCTTCAATGGGTTTTTGCACTTTTATTTTGAATTTCAGAACGGTTAGGCACTTTTGTGATTTGAAAGCTTGAAAAACATGTTTATTTTGAACTTTTACAACCAAACTATGAGAAAATTCTTATTTTTTTGCGCGTTCCCTTGGTGAGAGACTTGGATAATTCATAAAACCAGTTTTCTAAACAGTTTTATATATTGAAAAACCTTCTTTCAACCGTAACCAGATTTGCATTTAATCGATTTTGTTTAGGAAAAATGTTAAATAACATGACTAATGGATTTATTTGCAACTTTTCTGCTATTGAATTTGAATAAGAAAAATAGCTTCTATTTGGATCTTCCAAATATTTGTGCAAAATATTTTTTCTAACGTCTTCTTCTTTTGTCATTTTTAAAACTTATTTTAAGTTAAATAGGAAAACTAAAACATTTTTTTGAAATTGTTGCCAACAAAATATGGACACGATTAAAACTATGTTAATACAACCACTGAAAAAAAAAAGACATATTTACTATTTCACCTTTATTTTGTGTACACGCTTTAATATAAGTTTATTGTAAAGTCAATAGCTTTAAATTTGCTTGTGTCAAATGACTCAATTTTATAAATTTTATAAACTATTATCACTAACCAATTCAATAAAAATTTCTGAAAACTCAAAGGATTCCTGGAATTCTGGGGAATCCTGGAAAAAAACTATCTAAGATTGTTGTATTGAAATTATTATTAAGAATTAAAAATTATGATTTTAGTAGTTTTTCTACATGTTTTAAATCCAACATTATTGTGAATGTGGTAGTGGGGGACGAAAACACACTTTAGTATCAACAATTAAATTACGAAATAATAATTTTTTTAAAACAATTTTTGAATTTTTTTTAAAAAAAAAACTAAAAAAAAAACTCACTTTTGTTCTTACTTTTCAATACCTGTAAAAGAAACAACTTAATAAATCATTTTAACCTAATTTTATAACTTTTATAAAAGCTGAAAAATAAGTTCTCATTATACACAAGAATTTAAAAAATCAAGCAATTACCTCATTATTAATAGAACTATTTACAATTCCAAAAATCTGAATTAAAAAAAAAAAGCAATAGTAACAAAATAGTAACAAATGAATATATAAGCTAATATATATAAGCTAATATATATAAGCTAATATATATAAGCTAATATATATATATATATATATATATATATATATATATATATATATATATATATATATATATATATATATATATATATATATATATATATATAAATATTTAAATCTCTGAAAGGAACAACCAAATATATAGGCAAAACTGTAATAAAACATTTTATGTTGCACAATTTATTATCTAAGCCTCAGCGCCTTAACAAATCATAACAATAATAATTAAATAATGCGTTATTCTAAAAGTTATTTAAAACCAACAAAAGCTGCAATCATTAAGGAAAAAACTAAAAAAATATATGGTGTTTAAATAAAAGAGTTTGCATCATTTGCATTGCGATAAATATTTACCTTAAGGTAAATTAAAAAAAGAAATAATTATTGAGAGAAAAATATAATAAGAAAAACTGAGAACCTTACTGTAAATAAAAAAGATTCGTCTCTTATAAAGTTGTTTTTAGTAAATCTTTGATTTACAAAAAATAACTTTACATGAGGCAAATTGACTGTGAATCTTCTAATTGGCTTGTATTTCTAGCTAATTAAACTTGGTAATTAAACTCATATTAGATTGTTTGAAAAAAACAGATAAAAAAATAACTATGAAATTATTATATTGCCTCCCTTTAAATTATAAACCTAAAGGCATTTTTAAATCTAATGTGACCATGCTCCTTCCAACCTCTCTATATGCATACAAATTAAACATTAAACTTTTGTTATTTTTGGAACACTATGATCAACCATAGAAATTAATGGAAATTTTTTCTTTCTTTCTAAAACTGATTATTAAAATATTATAGAAGATTCAAATATGGTTATTTTTAAAATAAATGTGTTCTATAGTAAATCTACCTAGCCTAGACAAAAGAGGTCACTGCATGAAGAAACAAGTTAGGTTTATTCCAAACTTTTACTAGCGCTTTAACCAACTGAGCTCGTTAATGCAAATGTAATAGTAAGGTTAGCAATTATTGTAAAATTTAATGTATATATATACATAAAAGTTTACAATAACCATTAACCCTAATAATCTTATATATATATATATATATATATATATATATATATATATATATATATATATATATATATATATATATATATATATATATGTATATATATATATATATATATATATATACACACACACACACACACACACACACACACACACACACACACAATTACACTAGTGTTTAGAAAAACTATTAAAACAATAATTACACTAGTGTTCAGAATAAGGAGTTCGACAGCTTTGGTTTGATGACCCATATCCATTACTGCTGCTAATGAACTTGAATCACCTCTAAAATAAAATAAGATACAGTTACCACAGTAATGATTAAAACAATTAAACAATTAACATATAATACTCAGCTCCCATTATTCAAACTTTGTATACTTACTCAGGCCTAAGTAATGTTGGTCCAAACACAATAGATAAATTTGCAGCACCCATTTGGTTATCATCTGATCTATCTGCAACTCTGCAAACAAATAAAATAAAAAATATGGTGTACAACTTAAAGTATGACACTAAATTTATAATCAATTTATAATAAGTTCAAATATAAAAAACAGAATCATTAGTTCACAACTATATTGTATAAAAGGTTATAATAAGTTGAAATCAGAAACAAATATGAATATAACAAAATTTTAAAAATAAGTCTTATAAGAAAGTAGCAACAATTAAAAAATCAAATAATCAACTTAATTTTTTGCATGATCAGCAATCAGCATTAACATAATAATTTTGAAGAATTTCTATTTATTGATTTATAGAAGTTTTATTAATTTTGCTTTTTAATGAAATCAGTTTATTCTTTAGATGATTTGACATTTGAAAGTATTTATACTTTTAATATCACAATATTTGAAAGTATTTATACTTTTAATATCACAATATTGTTTTTGGAATGAACATTACTTGTGTGTAAACAAATTCATAACTAGATTGCAGAAATAATTATGATTGATGTTCAGCATTTTTCCATAGACCTTTCAAAGATATACATGGTATATGTTTAACTATTACATTAATGCCATTACTTAACTTGGCACTTTCTGGTCAACCAATGACTTCCATCAAAAATCAGTATTTCTTCCAACTTTTCTACTTATTGTACCATAGATTGTCAAAAATATAAATAAAACAATTTAAAATTCTATGAATGACTTTTTTATTCCAACTTTAAAGGTAGATTTATCTGCTTGAGACAACCCAGCTAATATGGCAGCTGGAATAGGTGAGGCAGGTTAAAAAAGATTGCCATATTTTTTATTCACTTAGCAACTTTAGCTGAAAGATTATGCCCAGATATATATTAAAAATACACTAATAACTTGTAAAATAACTGATCTTAAATTCAATATATCAAACTCAGTATAAAGTGCCAGAAAAATAGATTCTAACATGATTTTGCAACAAGATAAAAAAGCCAGTTTTTAAGTTTAAAATAATTTTTTAAATTATTTCAAAATTTTTTATTTTTACAAATCCATATTGACAAGATAAAAGAAAATTATTTTCCATCAAAACCAATTCACCTAAAATAGATACGCTTTTGATTTTAGAGAAAGAATTTGCGGTATATAAGCGGTATAAATATGCGGTAGTGGTAGAGCGCTCGCTTCATAAGTGAGAGGTTCTGAGTTCAATCCCCGCCACGTCCCTGGTAGTACCGCGCTCAACTTGTTTCTCTGTGCAGCAGCCTTGTTCGTCAAGGTTTGTGTTTCTGAGTTATAGAGTTGAGAGAGGGTTATATATAACCACAAATAAGTAGCCACCTCGTCTGTAGTGGCCTTCTTGGCCTTGAGGAGGTGAATAAAAAAAAAAAAAAAAAAAAAAAAAAAAAAAATTTAAACAAATGAAAGTTGCATGCTCTTATACTTTTGAACATTTTAATAATAACTTGGTAATATATATTGTTACTAGCATTAGCTGTTTTCTGATCATTAACATCAACACCAACCACAAATGTGCAATCACTACATCATTACTACTGCCAAAGTGACAATTTAATAGTTGAATTTAAACCTAGAAACTGTTGTATAGATAATGTTGAATGTGTGAGCTGACATAATTGCAAAAGTATATATGTCATTTGAAAATATTTCACACTTTGTAAGTGTGAAAACTGTTATCTTTTTTTTTTTATATAAAAGATAACAGTTTTCACACTAGTTTTGCACTTTACTATTACACTATCATTATGTTTACAGAAACACACAAACATGCACTTAATAGTTATTATGATGCCTTCACCCTTAGATAAATTTGGAAATAATCAACATACTGCTTTTAAGTTTTAAACTAATTCAACAAGAAAACAAAATACCTTTTCAAATGTCTGATAAGTTTTTCGACAGTAAAATAGTTAGCACTTGGCAATTGCTTTACTATTTCATGAAGCTGAGATATGATCTCCTCATATTGGGCACATTCTGCTTCAGTCATTTTATCAATATCAGAGGGAGATAGTTTTAAATTCATACTTTCCTAATCACATTTAAATAACAAAGATAATTCAAACATATAAAACTAGTCATTTTATAAACAAACTAAATTTAAAATGAAGATAATACAACTAACCTTGGCAAGCTTTATAAATAATGGGTACATCTTAAATGTCAATAGAGGTTCCGGAAGCTTGTGAAAAAATATCCAACATTTTAAAACACTTCATAGAAATTTGCAATACAAAAAGAAAATTTAAATAAATGCCTAAAAGTTCATTTAAGGCTTTATTTCAAAAACCATTTAAAAATGTCATTATAAATGTTGGTTATGCCATTTTGTGAAGGAATTGCCCATGTACTGTGAATTTGTATGCTTTCTGATTATATTTTAAATTTGTCATAAGGTATTTGCTTTTATTCGTTGTTTTATTCGTTATTTCTACTGTAAAATTAACTAACTTGACAAGGGTGGTTTTTGAAATAATGTCTTATTTGCTTTAAAAAATTGCATATGGCAGATTTTTATGTGAAAAAAAATTAAACCTCATACCTGTCTTAGATACAGCTTTAAAACTGAAGCAACAAAATGTGGAGGAGTATTAGAAAGATCAACCAAATCTCCTCCTGACTCAAATTGCTGAATAAAAAAAATAATGCTAAATATTTGAATTGAAAAATTAACTTTAACCATTTACAATTTAATCAGTTAATAACGTAGACAAAATTTATTTTTTTTATCTACGTTATAAACTGATTAAAACTGATTTTATTTAAATATTTTTAAATACGCATTTAATTTAAATTTACTTTACTTTAAATATTATATTCATAAATAATACAATTATTTTAAGACCTATGAAGTAAAAATGAAATAAACAAAATTTTTATTTATTTCATTTTTACTTCTTAGATCTTGATAACAAGATCATTTTAAGATCAGATTACCATCATTTTTATGTTCAATAATGTAATGTCAGTACATAATGATGTCTATCATAATACATAATCATTCAATCCTAATCAAATAATAGTAACATAAACAATATCTTTTATTTTCATTAAACTCGCTCCCCTCCCAAATCTCTATTATAGGTTCTCTTCTTAAGCCTAAACTTAAAAACATCTTGTTAAATGTGCTTCAAACTGAAAGATTGTGAGCCAAAAATTCGACCAATAGTCTACAAATGCCTGGATAAAGAGCACATAATAATATATAAAAAATAACATATATTGGTCATATTGTTTTGCGATGTTAATTAGGTCAATTATAGTTAATATAATTGTTCAATGTTTAAATAGTCTAGCCAATCATAATACATTCAAATAATCAAGTCAATCATAAATCATAATCATTCAATGTTAAATAATCATGTCAAATGAATTATGAAAACATTTCATAATTCATTTTTTGAATTATGAAATTTTTTTAATAATTTTACATTTGATTATATATTAACAAAAACATTTTTTGTTAATATATAATCAAATATTATTAATATCACTAATCTATACATTATATAACGCATTATATGAGCATTAATATTACAATATTAATATATTAATATTATTGTAGTTTGCCTACTAATTATACTTATTGTTAGAAACTTGTAAAGTAAACTGTATTGGGCCACACATGTAATTTTTATTGAGCCACAACCATGAAGAAATCATGATATTCTCTGATACCTAATTTTTTTGAGATAAACAGCTTTGAGCCTAGCACAGCTCTAGTGTTTTAAACAGGTCTTGACTATGTGTTTTTAACTCTGTAATTTTTTACATTTAAAAAGATTAATTATAATTATACAATAGTTTAGAAACAAAGTGAAAGCTTTATTTAACTATTATACCTGACAAAGTTTTTCTACTTTAGATTTTACTCCTGAAACCCTGTAAATTCCCTGTAAACAAAAATTACACAATTGTATGAGAGATAATTTGTATTTTATAAATTTTTTTAAATATTCTTATTATTTTATGAAAAAGTTAAAGCAATTAAAACAAACAAACAAACAAAAAGTTTTTGAAAAAGTTTTTTATTTTGAAAACAATTAAATTTAAATTTGTTTGTCAGTTAATTATACTAAAAGATGACAATAAAAGTCCTTACCTTAACACTTAAACCATTTTCATCAATTACATTTATACACTTTTCAATGATATATGGAATATCAGTTCGTTTTGTGGCAAGCAAATGTTGTTGAAAGTCAACTCCAAATGTTGTCATTTTACGAGGTAACCGCTACAAAAATGAGTACTTTATAAAACTTTGTACAAAATAATAAACAATTTTGCATTTAATATCTTTTAAATTAAATGAAAATTGCAATAAAAAAAAAAAAATAAATAAAAAACTTTAATTTATAAATAATTTTTTTTCAATAAAAGATTTCTTTTTAATTTTTACTTTTAATTTAATAATAAAAAAAAAATCTACAAGTATTTGTAAAAGTTTTAAAAAAATATTTTACAACATTTTACAATTTCAGTTTTTAAGCATTTACAATTGGAAAAAAAAAATTTACAACTACTGTCTCATTAAGTAATGCTAAAATAATAAAAAGTAATAAGTAATGCTAAAATAATAAAAAACAATAAGTAATGCTAAAATAATAAAAAATAATAAGTAATGCTAAAATAATAAAAAATATTAAGTAATACAAAAATAATAAAAACTAATAAGTAATGCTAAAATAATAAAATATAATAAGTAATGCTAAAATAATAAAATATAATAAACAATGCTAAAATAATAAAAAGTAAAAATTATTGTAAATTATAACTGAGTAAAAAAAAAAAATCGTTGGTAATGAAACAATGTAGTTTGTATTTTTAAAACTTAATTCTGAAATTGAGTTTGAATATTTTGAATTGGTAGAACTTAAATAAACAAGTTTACATAATTTGTTTGATTGGATTAAATTAATTGATTAGATGGAGTGTATGAATTTATAACTGATATTTATTGAATTGAAGTTGAAAGTAAGAATGAAAAACTTGAATTAGTGATTGCAATTGAATAGTAAATTTTGATGTTGTAAATATACTTGCAATTTCAGGTCAGCTTATGTATTTTGTGTAGCATGCTTGGAATTGCAAGTCAGATTATGTATCTTGTGTAATATACTTGGAATTGCAGATCAAATTATGTATCTTGTGTATATACTTGAAATTTCAGGTCAGATTGACATGTATAAGGACATGTTTTCGATTTTTGGAGTATAAAATTTGGCTAGCATTTTATTAACTGTTTACCTTCCATGCAACATGATAAAGAAAGTTGTATGTAGATATTTGCTGGGCCATTTTTTCATAGCTAATTTATTATAATATATTACAAATTTAAAAACACCTCAGAAATGTGTAAAAAAAAAAGAAGAAAAAAAAATGTTGTTTAGAACCATGTCTACAAAAAAGACTTGACCATATTTGTTGCCAGTGAAACTAACTTTATTCTAAACTTGCAAATGGAACTCATAAAACCCAACTAGTTTGAAGAAGTGTGCCAAGTTATGCCTACAAGTTTCAAAATTTTTTATTACAATACCTTTAATTCATGAAGCTACAAGAACTGTCAGGTTTCCAATTTTTCTGATGTTGGACAGAACCATAATACCTTACTTTATATAATAGATGTTTTACTAGGTTTTCTAACCTTTTTAAATTACTGTTATATTTAATAAATTAAAAAACTTGATACAATATCATGCAAGAATTTGCAGGTTTTCTAATTAAACCTGCAGATTTGCCCAACACATAGTTTTCTAATTAAACCTGCAGATTTGCCCAACACATAGTTTTCTAATTAAACCTGCAGATTTGCCCAACACATAGTTTTCTAATTAAACCTGCAGATTTGCCCAACACATAGTTTTCTAATTAAACCTGCAGATTTGCCCAACACATAGTTTTCTAATTAAACCTGCAGATTTGCCCAACACATAGTTTTCTAATTAAACCTGCAGATTTGCCCAACACATAGTTTTCTAATTAAACCTGCAGATTAACACATAGTTTTCTAATTAAACCTGCAGATTAACACATAGTTTTCTAATTAAACCTGCAGATTAACACATAGTTTTCTAATTAAACCTGCAGATTAACACATAGTTTTCTAATTAAACCTGCAGATTAACACATAGTTTTCTAATTAAACCTGCAGATTAACACATAGTTTTCTAATTAAACCTGCAGATTAACACATAGTTTTCTAATTAAACCTGCAGATTAACACATAGTTTTCTAATTAAACCTGCAGATTTGTTATAGTTAATCGATTTTAATTGTTAAGATTAAAAATCAGAGGATTTTTCTTCAGATTTTAAAACTATTTTTGCTCTGTTAATTTTCTAATAATTAGTAATAAAGAAATTGATGATAAAAGTTTAGTTTAGTAAATAACAATATATAATATATATAAATACTAGAAAAATAATTAAGAAAACATTTTTACTTTGTTACCACATTTGATAGCCAACTTTTCTAAACACTTTTTGTGACAAATTAAACCACACTAAAATAATGAAGCAAAACTACACTAAAATAGCAAAATATACACAAAATAAAGCCTGAAAAAAAATATCAATAAAATATTTATCATATACAAAGGTTTGGAACATGTATATATTAATAAAATTTTTATATTAATAATTATAGTAATATATGAATAAAATTTTTATTTTATACAAATACTGTAATACTAATTGATGCATATATTTTTATTATTACTTTTTTTTACTCATTGGTGTTTATTTTTGCCAAAAAACTCAAACATTTATCACAAGAAAAACTAGCAAGTAAAAACAGAAAACGTGATAAGCTTCTGTAAGACTCTGTATAACTGCTAATACTGCGCACTTAAATGTAACACATTGTCGTTTGAAATCATTTAAATTTTATTATGAAACTGGTTTTGTTAGCAAAGCTCAAACTAGACAATCATGGATGACTACTCCGATAGTCAATAATCACATTTACTGTTTATTAATGCATTTTATTTGTTTCTCTACGCAACAGCTTTATGTTGAAGATTTGTGTTTTGAAGTTGTAAAGAAAGTAACAAAAAAAATCGAGTAAACTCTTTGTCTATAGTGATCGCTTGGGAAGGTAAATATACTTAAAAATATATAAAATATAATTATATCTGTTTGACTTCTAAGAATTCAAGGAATTTTCTACTAGTATTGCACCAAGTTCAATAACAATTAAAAGATGGTGTGAAAACATTTAAATACTTTATTGTAGCTAAAAAACCAATTCTAAAAAAAAAAACTTTTGTTTCTGAATAAGTCAGCAACATTTTCAATTTTTTTTTTCAAATTGAATTCACTCCCAGTGTCAACAAAATAAAAATAACATTAAAAAAAAAAAAAAAAAAAAAAACCATTTAGCTTGGGTTAATACTTTAAAAAAGAATCATTTTAAATAAAAAAAGTTTTCCATCTTGTTGCTCCGTTTACACAAAACAAAAACAATATTTATCTGTATGTTAAAATTGGCTGTGTAATCCAGATAATTATATATTTGGATAAATTGGAAATCCAAGTTTAAATATTAATTATAATGATAATTGAAATAATTTGTAGCTTTCCAACCAAAACACTTTAAACAACCATAACACTTCCAGTGCCTCTAACAGTTTTTTTTTGTCAACAGAATTTTTTTGTAAGCAATACCTTTTTTTTAAGAGCAAGAGAGCAATGATTCATTTTTAAAGTTTCAAAACAATAAAGAAATTGAAAAACAAATTTGTCTGGCAAAATATTTTTGAAATAAATTTTGAAATTTGAAATAACTATTTGTGACTTAATACTCTGTTTTTGGTTGTTGTTCTAATGATTCACCACTGAATAACTGCAAATGAATGCTAAAATTATTTTGTTGCATAGCAACCATCACTACCTTTTAGTTCGAAGAAAATTAGCCCAGAAAAAAAAAAAATCAAAGTCAAAAAAGCTCTACTTTACAATCATTTGTAACAGTTAAGTTTTTATCTATAATAAAAAAACATCTCTTTTAAGATTAACCAATCAATCATATTATTGTTAAGTTAATTTTAAAAAATCATATTAATTAATATTTATTTAACAATAAATCATATTAAAAAAACAGTATCCCCAAAGAAAAAAACTTGTAAAATAAAAGTAATTTTTGCATTTGTTTATATTTATAATATTTTCTTTAAAAGAGAAATCCAGAAATAAAAAGTAATACAGTTGTGCTCTAATGTACATAATTTCAACAAATAAAAAATTAAAGAGTTTTAATTTAACAATATTTTAGGCAATAAACAAAATAATTTTTACCTTTTCACATTCTGCACCATTGAAGTATACATAACTATCACATTCTTTACATCTAGCAGGAGCACGAAGCTTACGGAATTTATGCATTTTAGCAGCGAGAGAAAGCTTTTGGTTACGAAACGGACCTGGTTCTGATTCTATCCAAAGAAATTTTTAAAACTAGATATAATTAAATACCTTTTAATATCCTTTTAAATTTTAAATATGCTTTTAAAGATCTTAAAAACAAATATCCTTACTTGTACATAAAAGAAAAAAAACAAACATACTTTTTGTCTCTTCTTTAACATCTTGTTCATCATCTGATAATGGAATATTATATTGTTTTCGTTGATTTGTTGGACTATCATGAGGAGAACCTGGCATTGATCTATCTGTATTGCTATCTGTGTCATCAGTAGCTGACTCCTAAAGTATTTAAGAAAAGCTTTTTATATTTTATTATTTCTTTGATATAAACTTTATATCAAAATGTTATATATACCGTAAAATTGCACAAGCTTGTTCACTTAAGCTTTGAACATTGATATCTCGAGCATAAATGTTTTTTTTATTTTTGTTTTGAATTATACATACAACCATATTGTAAATTTAATTGTTAAAAACCAAGCAATAAAAAGAAAAACTTCAATTTTTTTTTTCAAATGCAAACAGCTAGTTTGAACAAGCTTTCAATACAATCTTGTAAGTTTCAATACAATCTTGTAAGTTTCAATACAATCTTGTAAGTTTCAATACAATCTTGTAAGTTTCAATACAATCTTGTAAGTTTCAATACAATCTTGTAAGTTTCAATACAATCTTGTAAGTTTAATCACTATATACATTACAATTAAAATATCGCGACATTACAATTTTAACTTCCCAATAGCACAAAATATCACAAATTTAACATCTAAATAACACATCACAATAACATAGTGCCATATCACAAATTTAACATCAAAAATTATAAAAACTAGTTTTTTAATTTTATTTTATAATAAATTTATGAAACAAAATCGCCTAATTCAATTTTTAAAAAGATTTTTTTTAACTGACAACTTTGATTAAAAAAAAAAAAAATTAATTCAGTGCAGTGCTATTAAATTTAATTATTTTGTAATTAATTCACATTTTTCACAATCAACCTATCATAACATTTCTGCTAATTGCTATATGTATGTATGTTGTTTTTATCGTAGTATGATGACTTAGTGATGCGTAGCTGCATAATCCACAGGTGATAGTATATAATAACTGATATATATATGGACATAAGTTATAATATTTTAAGATTTCATTGATTTTGAAGAAAAAAAGAACTTAATTTTTAAAAATCAAAAAATCAAAATTTTAAATACTGTCAATTTGGTGACTCCTAGTAATATTATTGCTAAATTAAATCATTTTATTCAATACTTTGCTTATTTTAGATTTCAAAAGTATGAATATTTTCAAAAAATCTTGTTTTGCAAATGAATTATTTCAGCAGATTTTAAATAAACACTGATTTTTTTATAATTCTTATGCACAAAGTGATAACAAATATTATTGGATAAAAAAAAGTTTACGAAAATTGAAAGACGCATACAATTTTGTTATTCATCGCTAAATGACCAAAGTTGCATGGTGACCAAACTTAGACAATATCACGGTATATATATTTTCTTTTTGATCCTACTGAAGGAGAAACTGACAGTAAAAGTTCAAGTTAGATTTTTTTACAAATTTATTACTGTTCTGTTCTTTAAGGAATTGAGCACTCATTTTTTCAAGGACCAAAGTCATGTCAAGGACTGAAGTTAATTTTAAATTTTGAAGAAATATATTTAACAATAAGTTTTCAATAGCAACTATGATTAGTCTGATTAAACTATGACCCAGTCTTCTTAATCTATTAAACTATGATCCAGTTTTCTTGATCTATTAAACTATGATCCAGTCTTCTTTCTATTATTAGCAAAGTCTTTGAGAATTTCAAAACATACTAATATTTCAATTAAGAATAAGAAGTTTGACATATTAAATGATTTTGAAAAAATCTGGCATGATGGTCTTCTTCATAAATTTGCTCCATATCATGTATCTAGGATAGTTTTTGAAATAATTAAATAGTTCTAATCTAACCACAGTAATCAATTTGTTCTAGAAGAACAACACTTTCTTCTGAAGATACAGAGACAACTCTCTATCATTCCAGTAATTTCTTAGGTGCCAAAGGTTCCATCATTGGTCCCGTATTGTCTCACATCAATATTAATGATTTTACTGAAACAATATTTTCTAAAGTGGCTTTGCTTGATAGTGACACAACTATATACTCCAGTCTTGTCAAAAAGCCATTATTTTCTAATTGTTTAGAATAGGCAGCTGATGTTGCATCTTATCACTTTTCTGAGGCTGGTAGTGGCTTGTGAATTTTAACCCCCCAAAAATTGAGTAATATAAATTTTAGATGAAAATTTAGAAGTTTTTAGTTCTTCTAAGAAGTATTTCTAAGACTCTGACAACCACAATTTTTGTAACATTTTCTTATTTTTGTTTTTTTTAATACTAAAAACATACGTAAGTCTTGAGTTTACTCATTTCCTGTAGGTTAATTAATCCTGTAGCTAATAAAATTAACAAAACCTATAGCAAAAACCTAAAAAAAATGTGTTACAGCAAATGATACATATTTATGTTAAGTAAAATAGAACAATAATTTTTAACCTTTTTTCCAGTTCCCCAGGTTGGCCGTTTCGCTACCACACCAAAAGGTGAAGTTGGTCTTTCAGAATCAGGTAAATTGGTACTATTTTTACGTTGCAGCGTACGAGGAGTTATAGGCATAAATGCTGGTGAAAAATCTTCACTTGATATAGCAAGAACATCTTGATTTTGTCGAATTGAGCTTTAATATCAAAAAACTATATATATTTTTTATCATAAACATATTCATAATATTTTTTTTATTATTTTCATTTTATAAGTAAATAAAAAAATTAAATTAAGTTTGCTAGTTTTGAACTGAAGTTCAGATACATCAAATTATAATAGCCAAACCTTTTCACTCCCTCTCCTTTATATTTTTCAAAACTATATTTTGGTATCATAGCTTGATTAAGTGTAGATTGTTGCAGGCGCACAAATTCTGCAAACTGCTGGCCTTCTTCATAGCCTTTACTACTTTCAGCCAGTGTTTTGTATTGTGTTGGAAGAACATTAAACAATCCTTCCATCATCTTGAAGTAAGCTATTGTTACAGACTTCATTGTTTTATCACATTGATAAATTAACTGACGTAGATCTAACAAAACATCAGCTTTAACTCTCTGTATTTCATGCTGACGAACATTTGCTTCCTCAACACAGAGTTTGTATTGTTCCTCACTTTCATCAGCACTTTTTTTAAAGTCCTCTTGATGCTTTTTTTTACCAATGGTAAATTTAGTTGTATCTTCTTTTCCTTCTTGCTGTTGTTTAAGGTACTAAAGATAATAGTAAAAATATTACTTGCAATTTAATGCAATAAACTTTTCAATGATATAAATTCAAGAACAACTGCAACAAAATAACTTTAATAACAGTTGCAATAAATTGACAATGAAATTATAAAATTAAAAATTTACCTTTTCAAGATCTTTTTGTTTTTGGATGTATGTTTTCTTAGCGATCCTTAGATTTTCACGACTTTCAGCCTAACCCAAGAAAAAAAAAAAAATCATTCATATTTAGAAAATATTAAACATTATCTTTGATTAGATACTATTTGATTACTAATTAATAATACTTTTAGATACTATTTGAGTATCTAAAAGTATTTATTGCA